ACAGCAGCAAGAACAACAGCATCAGCATGAGCAGCAACAGCAGCAGCAGCGCCTTGCAGCAGCCAACTCGTGCTGCTACACGCTCTAGGCGCACTGCCAACAAACATGCCAGCAGCAACAGCAACGGGACACCACGAGCAGCAAGAGCAGCAGCAACAGCAGCAGCAACAGCAGCAGCAACAGCAGCAGCCGTAGCAACAGCAGCTGCACAGCAAACAACAGCAGTAGCAACGCCAACAGAGGAGCAGAAGCAGCAACAACGCAAACGTAGCAGCGGCAGCAGCAGCAACACCACCGCAGCAGCAGCAACACCACAGCAGCAGCAGAAGCAGCAGCAGCAGCAGCAGGAGCAGCAGCAGCAGCAGCAGCAGCTAACCACTCGTCTTTTTATTCCAGCAGCGGAGCCCCTCCCCGAATGCTGCCAATGCAGGGCAACAAATATCGAAGATCCACCAGCCATCCCTGCTGCTGCTGCTGCTGCTGCTGCTGCTGCTGTCTGCTGCAGCAGTTTGCTTCTGCAGGCAACCGCAGACACGAGGCTTTAGCGCACATCAGCAGCAGCAGCAACAGCAACAGCAGCAGCAACAGCAGCAGCAAAAGCAGCAGCGGCAATGGCAGCGGAGGCAACAGCAACAACAAGAGCAGCACGAGCAGCAGTAGCACTAACAACAAAGCAGCAGCAGCAGCATGCGTATCTCACATGTTCGTGCTTCTGCTGCGCTGCCGCTGCTGCTGCTGTTGCTGCTGCCTCAACTGCAGCAGCCAGGTCTGCTGCAGCATCCTGCAGCAGCCCTTCTGCTGCTCCTGTCTCCCCGAAGGACCGCAGCAGCTCTCCAACGACCAAGGCATAGAGCCGTGCTCCTGCTGCTTCCTGTATTGTTAGTGCTGCTGCTGTCTGCTGCTGCTGCTGCTGGTGCTGCTGTTGCTGCTGCTGCAGCAGCAGTGACCGAGAACCACGCAGCGACTGCAGCAGCAGCTGCAGACACTCACGGAGCTGCTGCATGTCGTGCTTCAACGCCCAGCAGCAAATCAGAGAAGCAGCAGCAGCCTCTACCCGCCATACAAACGACCGCTGCAGCGGCCGCAGTGCTGCTGCTGCTGCTGCTGCTTCATGCTGCTGCTGCTGCTGCTGCTGCAACTTTGCCCCCGTCTTGGGCCCCCAAACAAGGACCGCGTGGGTTTGTTCGATGCGGCCTCCATAAAGGGTTACTGCTGCCTCTGCCAGCAACTGCTGCTGCTGCTTCTGCTGCTGCTGCTGCTGCTGCTGGTCGAATTGTGCTGCAGCAGCAGTGACAAGCTGCCCCGACAGCAGCGCCAGCTGCTGCAGCACTGCCTGCCGCTTCCGGGCCTCCGCTAGCGGCAGGCAGCTGACGGCCATGGCGAGCAGCTCCAGCTGTCTAGACAGCTCAAACGAAGCAACACCAACACTGCTGCTGCTGCTGCTGTTGCTGCTGCTGCTGCTGCTGCTGCTGAAGGCAGAAGCTAGCAGCGCACCGGTGGAGCGCAGCTGCGAGAGGACGGCCTGCAGTAGCGCAGCAGGTTTTGCTGCGGTGAGGAGAGCAGCAGCAAGAGCATGCATGGGGTCTGCTGGTATTTGCAGCAGCAGTTGCTGCTGCTGCTGCTGCTGTTGCTGCTGCAGCGTGTGCTGCTGCACGCCTAACATATGCAGCAGCAACTCCTGCCTGTCGTGGGCAGCAGAGTCTCCCGCCAGCTCTGAGGCGTCCCCCAGACAGAGGCCCTTCAGTGCTGCAGGCCGCTGCTGCTCTGCTAGCAGACACAGCTGCGGTTGCAGCAGCACGTGCTGCAGCAGCTGCTGCTGCAGGTTCCCATGCTGCTGCTGCTGTTGCTGCTGCTGCTGCAGCTGGCCAAAGAGGAGGATGCTGTGACGCCCGCAGAGACACACAAGGGCGTACAGCCCTGCATGCAGCGCTTGCTGCATGTGCAACACATCAGCAGCAGCACCTGTTGCTGCTGCTGCTGCTGCTGCTGCTGTTGCTGCTGCTGCAGTCACTGCCTGTACTGCAGCAAGGACTGCAGCAAACAGCTGATTTACACAGCAGGTGAGAGGGCGGTCCATCCGCAGCCCCATCGCCACCAACAGCCTGCAGCCATCCACCATCCCCTGCAGCAGCTGTTC